CAGAAACGTAACATCTAGATGCATTAAAATACGTTTTTATACAGCATCACAATTACAAATTATTATTAGAAATGGACAATACTACTTTCCATAATTGATTACAGTCTTCACATTACAAGTTTAACATAACCTTAAGATAACCTTAAGAAATTAAAAACCTTAAGAAATTAAAAACCTTAGTGAAGTTTTATGTATCAGAATTACATACAGCCTTAAAAATTCCGTATCTATCAGTAACAAAGCTCATAGCTCTTGAAGATCTGTATAAAGTGAGCAAAGAAATGCATTATATCCACTTCAAATTATACCAGTTTTCAAACGCTGGCAAACAAACAGAGCAACCAAATTCTATGCTGAGATCAGCTTTTACCTTCCAAGTGTCAGCTCCAGGTCTGGACTTCTGAAGGAAGTGATATTCTACAAGGGGGATTCACCACATTTCCAGCATTTGTAGCATTTATCCTTTTCCTCATTCCTAACCCACCGATTTCGGGTGCCCTGATTAATCAGAGATCACTCCTTACCTTCTCCCTGCAACCAGGTTCCAACTACTACGGAAATGTTCTGCTGCTATGGGCCCGTGGTGCCCAATGGTTACGGGGCATGTTATAACCCTCAGCCAGAGCATATATTATTCTGCGTCTCAAGCTTTAAAGACTGTAAAGAAACCTCCTCAGACATGTTTGCAAAAGCTGTGGAAGAAAGCCTCCTAGAAATGAGAGATCTGTGCAGCAAGTGCAACTCTACTATGGCAAAGCCACTTGCTAAACAAGAAGCAGCCCCGCAGCTGCAGAGTGACCGCAAACTCTGAGGCTGTGGGAATTACTCTCCTGAATTCACCTTATGAAACAATGACGTAGTTGTTCAAAGGCAAGATAGTACTAGTAATATATTAGCGTAGAACCAAAATGTCATTTGTTTTACATTGTTGCCAACGTTTAAAACGCTGTAAGTACTAAATCTGCCATTTCTCGCTTGAGAGTCGGCAAAAAAGGTTCGGTCTCACTGGCTGCGATGAAGGAGGAGGTAATACGAGCATGTGTTGTGCTACCATTTCTAACCATAATCAACTTAGGCCATTTTATCACCTAAAAAATCGAGTAAGTTTGTATATGACATAAATTAAATACTAAGGCACACCAATTAATTAATATCCCCTGCAAGTAGTTCTAAAATATTCACATCTATTCCTGCAAGATTTGCATGTAAAGGAAAAAAAAAGAAATTTCCCCTATTGGGAATGTTGAGAATAACATTGTAAATAATAGGCTGAGGCCATTAAATCTTGCAAATTTACATGAAGAGTATTTAATACCACCATGCTATTTCCTACATAAGAAAAGCAGATTATTTTTAAGAGTGGCCGCTGTGTATTTCCACAAACAGAGTTTGGGAAGATTATACTAGTGTTTGCATGTTCCCCCAATTCAAAAGTGCTGCAGAAATAATTTCGCCTTTATTCTGGTTTGCACTGGCCTCCAGCACAGTCCCATTCCGAAAGCAGCGTATTGGAGGTAAGATCCATCACAGAGAACTGGGAGAATTTTGTCTGTAATAAATTGACGTAATTATTTCTTTCTATCAGTGAGCAAAATCCAGTCTTGACAGAGAGGCAAAGCACAAAGCGTAAGTGCAATTCAATCCTACTTAAGACCTTTTTTGTTTGCACAAGAATGAATTTAGTCATTGTGACTAGCAGGAGCGTGTATGCAACCACACAAAATCAAAGAGCAATAAATAGCTAGAATGAAGAGGCAAACTTGCAATATAAGGAAGTCTCCAAGCTAGAGCTATAAATACCAGTTTAAGAGTACTGGTACTCATATCAGCTTTGCATCATCCCACTTGGGAGGGATTTATATTTTTAATAGTAGATGTAGGGTATCATATTCTGCAATATACAGTAAATTCAATCAGGAAAATAATACAGTATCTGGTAATTCCCATATTCTGCGAGTGTTATCCTGAGGGTTTTCTCATTATGTCTTTCATTCCCTACAAATCCTTCCAAGGACTGATGTTTTCAGTTACCTTCTCTCAAGCTCAAATATGTTGCCTTGCTTCGAGGTGTTCAGTCATCATCGTTAGACCACAACTTGCTCACTGACTAAAGACACTTACTTACTAACTCCAGCGCGGGCCCCTTGCTAGGCAAGCTGGAGCGCGCTCGGCAGCACCGCTTATTTGCCTGTGGGGAAGCGGAGACATTTCTTCTTCCTTTGTAGACTGAGCAATCACGTGCTTAAGTACTCTCAAGCCTAAAAGCAGGAGAACAGATTTATTACAATAAACTAGAAGCGCAGATACGTTTCTGTCTAAGAACTCTAGATACAGAGTCAGTAGCTTATACGTGTCCGTGCTTCTTTTGCTGCCTCTTCGGAGTTGCATACATGCAGTTGAGCAGTCTGCTGGATAAAGGCTGTCCACAGCCCCAGGTGTGAAAGCACAGTGGGCCCGATAATCAATCGGAGCAAGCCAGCTATGTTGGAGCAAATCAATTGATTTACAGTGATTGAGAGCTGGGCTCATTTTTTTTTAAAGTTAATGCGTTCATTTAAAAATATGTATGTTTCATTACTCCGAGAGCTGTGGTTCAAACCAAAGATGAAATCTATTTTTTAGATTATATAAATAATATTATGGCATAAAAGCTGCCCCAAAGTTAAAGTGTAAAAAAAATAAAGAAAAAAAAAAATCAAGAAAACTGTTACACAAACCAAATGTTCACTTAATGAATATACGGTTCAAAATATGACTTTAAATTGTTCCTATACTATAATTATGCAAATTACTTTGAAACATTCCCAGTAATTTTGCTTTGTTCTGTCTCATGTCACTACAAAGGCATTCTGCGTTTTTAACACAAATGTAGCACTATAATCTCCAGATTTTTTCACAGAATTATATGTTTAGAATGATAACCATATTTTAAGTGTATAAAAATGCTGTGAATAGTTGATTATTTATTAATTTGCTTCTAATGAAATACATAATTTTATTTTGTATTCCTAGTTCCATAGGTACTGATATTTATTTGCAAACATTACCTGTGTTTTCATTTTACTTTTTTGACTGGAATTTTAACAGTAGCTCAGACACTGCGCTCACCACACAGTCACCGAGAATTCAGGCAGAAACTACAACCACACCTGAAATTTTATACCACTTCATCATTAGGAGCCCCTTACTTGCCTACAGCTGCCGTAACAGGTGTTTTGGATTTCTCCAACACTGGAAAATACTGGTGGTGGAAAATACCGACACCGTGTTTTTACTCGAGGAAGAAACCGGTGACCACCCATCCTTCCTATTTATTTAGCTAGCCGTTCCGTACTTGTGCCTCAGGTACTCACTGAGCTGGTGCCTGAATACCTGAGACGAGCAGCTTCAACGAACTCGGTCCCTCCAGAGGAAGGCATTTGCCTACGTGCTTAACCTTAGCCGTTACCCCTGCTAAAAGTAGTATCTGCAAAGTACCTGACTTTGTTCAAGAAACTTCAGACGCAGTTCAGGCATGTTTAAATCGGAGAGTCCCGATTAAATTACAGATGGATAAAATTCACAGCACAGGGCGTTACAAACTTCTCCGTTTGCCAGCAGGAGCTTCATACGGGACCGCGCTGCTTCTCAGTTAAGAGAATCCCCTACACCTATGTGGTATGAGCCCATGCTGCAGCTGCGTCTATTAAGGGTGTCAGGAAATAGGTAGTTTTCTTAGGTACTTACTCAAAATTATTTGTATTATGCAAACGAAGTTCTCTTCTGAAGTTTAAAAATACACAATCTGTGCACACGCACTTATGGAAATCAAATGCGAAGCTTTTAAAATGTTTCCAACCAGAAAACTATGGAATAGATTGTTCATCATAAAAAGGGGGAAAATCTCGATTGACACACTACGTGTAATTACATTAACCCAACAAGTGGCAATGATTTAGTGAGACCCCTTGGCGGGACCCGGGACACACAAACCCCCTGCAAGAGAATTTTAAGAAGGTAATTGTTTCACTCCCTCCGTAGGTGTACACCCACGTACACGCGGTATTGCGATGTAGAAATTAAAGAGCCAGTTTTTGTGTACTTCTGTATTCACAGTGAACAAAAGCGAAAGAAACTCGAGTTCAGAACAGTGGTGTTTGGGGGGGGGTAAGAACCGGACCTCACTCCCCCGAGCGCTGTCAAAGCCCCCCGTGCGGTCTGTAATTAAGCAAGACAGGGTTGTGACAACACAGCTGAACTCCGTCTGGCGTACGAGTTGCAGAAGACATGAAAATATTTTAGCGATACTTTTATTTTTATAAGATAGTATAGATTTATGACCAATGTAAATGTGTATTTATAGCACATTTTGTTTCTGTTTTGTGCTCTACTGAAATATATTTATCTCTCTATATTAATATCTACCACCCCAAGTGTACGCTGGTACCACGAATTCAGCTTATTTAAAGACGGAGTTCCGCACCCCCAATAAAAACTACCAGAGGAAAGCTCTTGTCGCCTTTTTGTGCCAGGCGGCCCCCGGCCCCGCGAGCCCG